TAAAAAACAATCTAAAGAACTAACTGATAAATATCTGTCTAAAATATTATTTTCTGTTAAATACTTTGAATTTATTATTAAGCATCTCGAATTGGAATTTTTTAAATCTGATAATTCATTAAATAATTTAATTACAAGTCATGTGGAAGATATTTCATTTTTTAAATTATATGCACAAAATCTTTTAATAGCTGCAATCTTAGAACATAGAATCGATCTTGTTGATCAGGTTTTTAACCAATGCATGAAATTAATCGAGGACAATCCAGATGAAATCAATGTTCTTAAAATAATTACTCCATATTTACACAATCTTTATGAAAGTTACCCTGGTCATTTTAATAAATTTATATCACAAACCTCTTTATTATTAAGTCCTAGTCATAGATCTATAGATTATACGTCCTATTCTCATCTTCATCCACATACCACAGAGCCGCATATGTTTAGACTTACTCCAATCTCAAGATTTTATTTATTTATATATAATTATATTTCATATTTAAAGTTATTTTGTTCTGATTACTACAAGAAACTGTCTGAAAAAAACTTCATTGATAAACAACCCACTATACCTGCTATTAATTTGGTTGTTCCATTGCCAAATTTTTGCACATATGGAACAGATTATAAATTTTGGAAAGAAATGCTTGGAAGACCTTTATCTAATGGATTTGTCGAAATACAAACCCCTGAATTATATTCTAGTTGGACTGGTGAAGCTCTGCTTAATTTTAAGTGGAAAACGTTTGGAAAGTACTTTTATTATCTTGAATGGACCATTTTTACACTTTTCCTTTTGGTATTTTCTCTTGCTGTTACAGAGACTAGGGGGCTTGTTTCAGATACTTGGCAAAAAATATTTTTATGGATATCAATTATTATTGGGTGTTTTTTTCTCTTGTATATTGAATTACGCCAATTTATATTTAACTGGAAACGATATGTATTTAATTTGTGGAATTGTTTTGGTATTATTCATAAATTTAATCTGTACAATTCAATTTTAATATCAAATACTTTAATATAACTATTATTTATCATAATCATTAGATATAGGTGCATTAATTATGCCTACCGTTACTTCAATTTATTGGTTATTATATGGTCCGCCACCACAATGGGCGCCCTCATTAGCATGCCTGTTTCTTGATATAAAATTCTTATTCTTTTTACGAGCATTTGAATATTTTGGAATTTTTTTTGCCATTATTATTGGCGTTGCTCAAAAAGTGTTTTCATATTTAATAGTTTTAGGAATGATTATACTTGCATTTGCTCATGCCCTTTATATATTACTTCAAGAACCAAGTGAAAATTTGGATTCAACTGATGTTAATACTGATTTATATGCAAATTTTGAGACATCGCTTTTGGCTGTTTACTTATTAATGACTGGTAAAGAATTTTAGATATTTTCTAAAAAATTAAATATATATTAAAATATATTTGTTATATAGGTGATAATGGTTCACTTTCTACTTGGGATTATCGTGCAAACCCTATTCTAGTCTTATTGATGGTTTCATTTTCTTTTTTTACGGTTATCTACTTGTTAAATTTATTTATTGGATTATTAAGTAATGCTATTGGAGATTATGATAACAGAGCTGAATATTTAATACAAAAGGCTGAAGTAATTATTTTTTTTTTTTACAGACTTTTTCAATTTAACCAATTCATTAAGTTTCTTTTTTTTATTATTATTATTATAGATCTTGATACAAATAGAATTGTTTTGGCTTTTTCCAAAACAACGAAGGTGGCAACATTGGTTTCCAGAATACATGTAAATTTTAATTTAATATTTTTTTGCATAATTATTAATCAAAGATGGATGCTAACTTAATAAATACATTTTTGAAAAGTTACTATATTGCGCATAGAGACAAGGTCTATAGTAAAATTATAGAAATTAATAATGATAATGATTTGCCTGATGATGCAAAACCAATTATTAGCGACGAACTTAAAAAGCTAGCCGGAATAAATATAGAATCAGATAAGAAATTAAAGGCCTTTTCTTATACTTGACTTGGATGTGTCAACAAGATGGAATAGCCAGGGTTGCATAATTTACGTATGTTAATGATAATTTAAAGAATTAGTTAAAGAGGAAATAGTTAAAGAGAAAGAAGGGACTGGATAATAAAATGAACTTACAAATATACAAAATATAAAATCACAATATACTGTGATGTTGATAACATCTTTGTGTTTGTTGCCTGTTTAAGCTTTATTGATCTATCTAATATTGAATCTCCCATGAACTGCCTTCTCATCAGTATCCAACACAATTTTTTCAAGTTTTTGATTACAATGAATTTCATTATTAATGTATTGTTTTTGATTACAATGAATTTCATTATTAATGTATTGTTCTGCACGTTCATAAATATTAGCCCATTCACGTCGGTATTCTTTTAACATAGATTTCAAGAACCATATGGTAATACTAGTGGTTTATCAATATTTAAGATACGATCTTCACAACACTGAGATTTGTATAAATCGAGAGTTTCAATGGTGTTTCATACCCAAATAAATTGGCTAACGTATTTGAAGGTGGAAAACTTCCATTTGGTGCTTATAAAGCAATGATAACACAAAGTGTTGATAAATTAAAAGTATTTTCCTTAAGATTCGAAAGAAAATCAAGTGCTGGTAGTGGAAGAGGTTCAAGAAAGAAAATTTTTGCTTTATAATAAATTTGACCCTTAGTTGAAAGTTTCACCCAACTAAAATTCAAATAATATGTTTTTAATATCATTATTTTTTAATTTTAAAAATCTAACAATAATAAATACCTTCAGAAATTTCTGTGACAAAATCTCGATTAACCTCATAATAATTTCCGAGCGATTTATCTTCCGTACTAGAACAGTAGTCCATCACATCGAAAATGAATTTGTTGCCAATATTTTTAGTCAGAAGATAATGAACTTCATTCCAAACCAGATCCAAATCATTATCAATCATTTTAGTCTGCGTAACAATTTCTTTGCTTTCCTCATTAAAAAATTCGAATATAAGATTTTCCTGAATAATTAAATTATATCAACGTATTAATAACTTACTGGGCGGCTAATAAATTATAATACATAAATTAACGTATTCAATTTACCTTTAGTAAAGGAGGAATCGACGTTTTTAGCCCTTATTAATTCTAGTCTAATAACACTGATAAAAGCATAATCCGAAGGAAATTGAAGATTATTGTCTTTATTGCTGCATCTTTCTTCTGGAGAGACTTTATCTTTAGATTCTTCTACTTTCGATATTTCAACTTTCTTGCGATCAATTTTATCTCGTTTCTGCTCGTCAATTATTTTATCTGAAATTATATCAACTACAAACTTATCAGCACAATCTAATAATTCTTTTCTGCATCGGCATCTCTAATTTGTTTAGAAAGATAGTCACGAGCTTTATTATATTTATCTACCCAATCACTTTCATATTTGGGCGCTGCATTGTTCAAATATGAAAGGTTAACTGCTGTTGCAAGACTTGATGAAAACTCAGGTAATTTGAGTTTTGGATTAGTAACTTTCTTTTTAATTGTATCAATAATTTCTGCTATGGGAGCATGAAATTCCTCGCATATTGTATCATCAAGCTCAATGCTGTCATCGTCTTTTTGTTTAGATACAATTACAACAGCTATTGCAGCGCCTTTATTATGATATTTTTCAATCATTTTGGTAATGTTATCAACGACATATTTATCAGTGTTATCTATTAATTTTTTTTCAACATCAGGTTCTGTAATTTCTTTAGCGAGATATTCATGAGCTTTCTTAGATTTATCCTCCCATTGTTTTTTATGCTGTGATGCGGCGATATTAAGGTAGCTAAGAGAGAGTGCTGTCTTCCACCAGGTTTTTGATTTGAGTGATCTAAGCTTTGGATTTTGTGTACGTTTTTTTTACATCATTTACTACTTTAGTAGCTGGAACGTCTATATCTTTACAAATTGTTTCGCTAACTTCAAAAGACCCGTCATTCTTTTGATTAGACACTATGTCATCACATTTTCTGGTGTGGAAACTCCTGCACCGTAGCTGCATTTCTCGTTTTATCTTTAATCACCTTATTAACTCAATTGTCAACTACATAATTATCCAAAGATTCTTCAAGTTCTTTTTCGGCACCTATATCTCCTATTTTGTCTGAGATATTTACGAGCTTTATCATCTTTATATCTAGGTGCAAATTTCTTGAGGTATAAAAGATTAATAGCAGTTCCAAGAATTGATGAAAGATGGTAATTGAAGCTTCTTATTTTTAAGCATTGGTTGAATTGTCTTAATAATTTCTTCCTTAGATGCACTCAATTCATCACAAACTTTATCGCTTAATTCAATACAACCATCTTCATTTTGATCCGCGACGATTTTTTTGCATTTCTTAGGAGACTAATTCTTCAATGACCATGAATGCTTTGAAACCTTTTAATTGGCGTTTCAACTGCAATGAAGCTGAATATTTTGAATAAAATAATAAACAACAAGTAGAATCGTGAAACTTTTATGAATAAACAAAAAAAAAACCATTACCTAGTATATTTGGAACTAAGGTTATAAGATTTTGCCAGATCCACAATTTTTTTACGAATAAACTCTTTATCATTTGCATGGTTAGATAATAATTTCCATCTTCAATTTCTTGAATAAGTTTTCTGGCCGCAAGTGGGTGAAATTTTGATCCGTATAAAGGATCTTGAACAATTAAAGGCTCTTGAGAATTTGAATTTAATTTGATTTTGGCACACGGTTTAACATCTTTTCTAAAATACAATATATTATTAAACGTACGCCAATATAAAGTTCTGGAATTTCCAACGGAACTTGTTTAACTTTAAGGTCATTATTCTGAGATTCTTCATTAGACTCAAGGGTACATGTAATTTCATAATCTAAAGTAGGCGGATTTAATGAATTCTTAAGCATGGCCAAAGCTTTTCTGTTTATTTGTTCTAAGTCGGACACGTATTGTGTATATCTCTTACCAACTCGAGCAATGGATTCAGCTAAATGATTTGAAACAATATTACTCATTACCATTGAAAATATTCTTAAATCATGTGTTTCTTTTTGATTATCATGTTTTTTTTGATTATCTTTTATAAGTTTAACAATTTTGTCTGCAGTCGACGACGACGTCTCAAAATCTGAGAACAGAAGAACTGATGTTGACCTTTTAGGAAGTGAATTTTTGAATACCCACTCTAAAATAGCATAAATGTGATAAAA